CAATTTCCCCAAAATCATCACTTATAAATATTCCCACTCACGCTTCCGTTCATTCTTTCAGTCGAATCAACTGGAATGGCCTATATCCTATCACCCCGCAAATTTCTTTATCAGCTATAAAAAAACTTTTAGCTTTGCACTATTGCAAACAACAGAATAACAGGAAACGAAAGAATTGATATGATAACAGTGAAATGCCATTGCTCGCCTAACAGATTAATCGTTGAACGAGTGAATATGGCGATGCAATCGCACATCGAGCACACACACACACACCCACCTTATAGACGTATGCGAATGCACAAATAAGAATCGCCACAGCCACACTCCATATACAACAATTCAAGGCGTGAATTAATCCAGATAGATCCTCCGCTAGTTTATCCACAGATTTCTGCGAAACAGATGAAATACTCGAGAATTCCACTGTCAAAGTGTTAACGGTTGCTTTCGAAACTGAACTAACGCCAGCGATTTCTTCCATCAAATTCTCTAGGATTATCTTTAGGGTGTTAAAGAACTGAGAAATTTCCAACATCAATTTCTCCATTGTTGTTTTCGAAACGGCAGAAATATCAGCAATCTCCACAACCAATTTCTTCATAGTTGAAACGACGCTTTCTAACGTCTGAAATAAAACCGAATCTCGCAAAATATTTTCGTGAAACGTTTGAGGAGGGTGGTTGAATGGTTCGGATTGGATCAACTTATGCATGACACAACGTTTCGGCATCGGTCATTTGTGCTCGAGCTTAGGCTTGGCTGAATAACTGAATGATATTATAGAATGAAGAGGATTGATCCAAACAGCGATTTGCCAATCCGACTAAGAATGAATCGACTCTCTAAAATTCCTGGAAAATCTTCGAGGTGCGTGCATTATAAGCCACTGATATAGTGCTTAGCGAAGCAGATGCTCTGAGTCAATTCCTTTTTGTGCTGTATTTTAGTGCTGAGTGGAAGCTGGGATGAATTCGGGCTGATTAGAGGATGGCTTGGAAGTTTTTTTGAGTAACCAATAAAACGTACCTTGTCGAGAGACATTGTTCGAAATTTGTATCAATAATTAATAGTTAGAACGGATTTTGTGCCTGCAAATTGAGCAGTTTCATGCAATTTTGATGAACGACGACAGCTTCGGACTTTATGAGTTGTCGACGGCTTTATCGTTTACATTTCACTTTTGTGAAGAATCTATTGAGGTTACACTTAAATTCGTTCAATTTACCACGATATTCTCCACCATGTATTACACAATTGAATGCGTTCTGCGCTAACTACGTCACTCACAGATGTATATTCTTATATGGTAAGACTGATTGTGAAAATTGAGTAAAAAACAATAAATTATTGCAATTCTGAATTGAATATGTTATATTAAAAAGAGAAGTTCGTCTTCCTGACCAATTTAATAATTTTTTGGTATCATAAAACGAATGAATAACCGGAAAAATATAAGAAAGTCTTATCGTTAGAAAAATACATTCTATCATTCTCGATCGATCTTGACGAACGGTTTGTAGGTTTTGAAATCAATGTCAACACTGGCAGTGTATGAAATAGTTGAAATAGTTGTGAAATAATCAATGTAAAAGTTTTATCTCATTTCTTATCAATTTTGAATTGTGAATCATAACTGATAATCACTTCTTGCCGTAATATCAAAAAAACATATTGCATGCCAATTGCCGACTTTCGTTTTTCTTTCGATCTGCTTATGCTTTATTATTTCACTTTTTGTAGACGACAATCGCTAAAAATTCTATTAACGAGCTTATCAATTTTTATTTGGATGCTGAAGTTTCATGGTGAGTAGTGGGACGAATAATCACCGTTCTTGTGATCCTTATTCGTACACCACACAGTCTCATTAGAGCGATTTGATCGAGTGGTTCAAGACATGAATTTTACTCTTTCGGAAGCTGACGTCTTCTCAAATTGGATGGATATGAGAAAAATTTGTTTGAACAATGAATAGATAAAAGCAGTCGTCAAAGCGAAACGACACTGATAAATAATAATTTCTTATTTCTTTTTGCATTTTTATATCTAACGCTTCATCGCAATGACCACTTCCAATCCATCAGAACAACCACGTGGTGGCAATCTTAGATCCTCGAACTCCTCTGTAACAATCACATACGCCATAGTGAAATAAGCCATAATCCTGACTAGTGTTCGTTGGGGAACGGGGTCCCCGTCGGGGACCCCGGCGGGGAA